ACAATATCCAAATTCCAGCCCAACGATGTGTGTCCCGTGCCGTTGGTTGGCCTGTGGAGATCAGAACCTTCAAAATAAGTACCTTTCCCCACCATTCGAGTATGGTCACCCATATAAATAATAGAGATTAGCATGAGTATTTAGACACTTTGAGCTTCTCTTGTCTACCAGTATGCAAGGGCTAATTCACAATTAATTGCAGCTAAAGAGAAATCTACTAGATCACCAAGCTCCTAGCTACCCACAGCTGCATTTTGATAATAATTGGTATCTAAGATCTTGAATTGTTGCAGATCTAGCTGTGGTCACATTCCACTGGTTATAGTGTGTTTTCACTAGTACTTTATCCAACCGACAATGTCTTATGTCCAAGAGCTATGCAATGAACTGCTAACTTAGTGGCTCTTGATACGACAGCCAATATAACAGAGAACGAGCGCCGTCTCAGCCCGCAGTAGGACAGCTTGTGTAGCTTATGATAAATTGTCCCACAGCATTGTCATAAAAGCCCCCCGCAATCGCTAAAGTGCCTATGTTTTTCTTATCTAAGTCACATTCCTACCGACGAGTACGGAGGTTCATTTAACCAGGCAGTGCGTTCTAACTATCCGAAGACCAACCACACGGAATCCCAAGCAACGGGGACCGACGCTGATCAAGGAATGATCTCTGACTCGCAAAACTAGCATTAGACCCCATAATATGAGCTACTACGGTACTGTACCGGAATAATAGTGTGCCAGTATCATGATATCGTTGGAACATAGTAGTAGTACTAGATTTCCGTATTCGCCCCGCAACCGACTGTAAACTGGCTCATCCGCTACCAAAAATTGAACCGATTGTATTATTGTGATTGGCGAATACCGGTACCGCACTGTACAGTACTCTTGTTCTAACCCACACTTATACGCACTGTACTGTACTCGAGTATGATACCGGTAGCGCTCTGGACAACAAGAGGACCTTCATGATGCCAACCTGGGATAGGAGAGCTGCGGCCCCCCTATTAGCTGATCATTCTGAGATATACACGTGAAACCGCAGGTCACGTACCATTGCCAGGGGCGAGAACACAGGGATATGCCCTCTAAGAAAGCCCTCTCTCCCCACCCCTCGCGGGAAAAGAAATAAATTCCCGCGTCGCCTGGTGAAATTTGTACGAGTATGGGAGGTATACCATGTGCTTGGGAATAGCTGCACATCCGCACTTCAGCCTCAACCCGAGGGAAAGATCAACGCTACCAACATCTTTACTGTCATGAATGGGACGTCGATGCCAACCAACGGCTCAACTTCAGCCGCCATGGGGAGCGGTGGTGGCGGCGCTATGTCCATGGTGAGTGGGCAACATAACCCACTTCAGCATTATCAGCAACAGCTCCAAGCCTCTCAAGCCTCCTTGGGCCCGCATCCTACTTATCCACTAGGTAAACCGTCAAATGGAGACCCAGAGCCAACTGCAACTTGACAAATCTCGGGTCACATTAATTCTCCAGATAAATACAGAACTGCTCCGAGAAACAATAAACCTTCAGTCAAATGGAAAGGGCGCCGGGGGTGAAGAGAACAAAACGCCCGACAAGGGATATATCGAGTACGCGACCAAAACCAACACCAGACTCTTGTTTTTTTTATTTTCTTTACGTGCGTTCGCTGATACCCGAAGCTCGGTTTAGATGTATGCGACGGCTTCAATGCAATCTTGCCTACCTAGCTGCAATTGCCGACCGTTCGCATAAGCCTGCTTCCCAAATCCCACCCTCACCGACAATCCTACTTGCACCACCCGGAATGCCGGTTCTCGAGAAGATGTACAAAGATCTGCAAGGCCTCTACCCTACTATCAAACCCGGGAACCCGTCACAGTCCGGACAAGCGCTGAGCCAGGGTGGAGGAAGCCAGTCAGGGAGAGGAAGTCAGAATGCATCGCCAAAGGTCAACGCTGCCGATAAGCCTACGACCCAACATCAGCAGCAGCAAACGCAGCAGCAGCACCAGCACCACCAGCAAGCTCAGCAGCAAGTTCAGCAGCAAGCTCAAATGCAATCTCAGCAAAGCCCCCGACACGTAACATCACCTACCCCACCAGCACAAGTCCCACATCAAGTTCTACAACATCAACAACAATCAATGCAAATGCAAATGCAGATGCAAGGAATCCCTGGTCAACAACATGTACAATTCTCCCCTCCACACCATCCACAACCGTCGCCGCATAATGCCCCTCAGATGGCACAGCAACACGTTCAGAGCGTCGGACCCGGCGGCCAGATCCCGGTGAACTACGCGCTCCTTCAGCAGCAACGACACGCGATGATTCAAGCGCAGGCGCAAGTACAGGGCCGGCAAATGCAAGTTCAGATGGGAGGGGTTCCGTCTACGGTGAGCATGAATTCTGGTGTAGGCGGAGGCATGAGCAATGGTATCCCCGTTACTTCAATAGCTCAACAATCGGGGATGCCACAGCAGGCCATGATGGGGAATATGGGTATGGGTATGGGCATGCCTCCAGGTATGGTTCCGGGAATGGGAGTACCAATGGGTATGGGGGCGCCAACAGGCGGTGGCCCGATGGGGGGTCAGATGGGGGGTCAGATGGGGGGTCAGATGGGGGGTCAGATGGGAGGTCAGATGGGAGGTCAGATGGGAGGTCAAATGGGAGGCCAGATGGGAGGCCAGATGGGGGTCAATATGACCCAGATGGGTCAAATGGGTCCTGGAATGGGTCCACAAGGGTTTGACATGTCGCAAGGAATGTGGAACAGCGGCTGGCAGCCTGGGCAGGGTCAGTAGTAGGGAGCATCTGATTTTCATTTTGATTCAAAATCGCAATTCTCCTTATTAAATTTTTTTCTTTTTTTTTCTTTTGGGGGGGGGATTACAATATGTTTAAAAGCTATGTGGAAAATAGTGTCTCTAGTTTCGTTTCTTTAAATTTTCTAGGTTTTCATACCTTCTGTGGGTCTGTTCGTTTCCTTCACCTTTGTCTTCAGATATCCTTGTGGCGAGCTGGAACAATCATGATTCATGAACCCTATAATGGCTTTGTCAAGTATAGTCATGTCAATTTCAGCAAAAAGAAACGAAAAAAGGCATAAGCTCTGATTCACATTCTCTGATTCATTGCCTGCCATCGCTCACACAAGATCTCGACCAATCTATGACGTTTAGTGTCATTCTTGCACCTTCTAGAAGACGCGTATGTCACATGCGCACGTGTGTTTGCCAAGAAGTGGGATATGGGGGCGGAGGGCATAGGTCAAGTTATGTAGTGATTTTTTCTTATATACCAAACAGGTCACTCGCCTTGTTGAAGGATGATGAAAGACATTGGCTTCTTGTGATTGGGTTGAATGAATACCGGTATGATATCTGCGTTGTCAGCATTATGAGGTAGCTTATGTATCATCATGGGAGTCAAAAAATGGGATTTTTTGCACGCCCTATCATCATCATAATAATATTATAACATTATTACGATAGGGTTACCAGCCTGGAGCAATACCAAGCCCGCAAGGCCACGATACGTACATATATCATAGTATCGTATCAGGTTGTTGGATAGATCATGGGACAAGAGGGCAAATGTTCCCCGCTACACACCCACCACTTTTGCCGTTGCGCTTATCAATAAGGCACAAAATACCCACAAGGCTACCATCAGCGCTCTTGTGAGTTCCATCCTGCGCAGGAGCCTTACTCAAGTCTACCAGCACAGTACGAGTGCTGTGGCCCTTGCAGCCATATTGGAGGCTCTATCGCAGAGAATCTACGGGAATGCCTTGTACAGTTGTTACTGCTTCTGAGCATCCCGACTTTGCACGGCGCCCGTAGACTCATCGGGCGGCAGCTACTCGCAGATCGGGACCGATCAACCAAGTACTTATCACCAAGTATCTCTCTTTATTTTTTTTTATTTTTTTTTATTTTTTTTATTCCTCGCCTTCCTCTTCAGAATACTCAAGAGTAGCGGCGGCGGCTTGACGGCATAGTTGTCCAGACATGAGAGGAATATGATTTTACTGTGGTTGTGCGTTGGCCTGCATTGCAATGGTCGCCCTGGGAGCGCGAGCACCCGAAGACATTGGTTAACAAGAAACCTTTTGTGGAGATTGGCTGTTAGATAGAGTACCGGTATGTGATCTCTAGATTTTGACCCGTTTATCCGTGAGAGTTACAGGAAGGGGAGTAAGTTTTATATGCATATTATTATCATTATTTTTCTTCCCTTGCTCTATATTATTTTCTAGATAATAGTTTTGGGGGGGTCAACGGCATCGCACGTCTTCCCCTCCCTCTTACCATAATTTCCTCCTCTTCGTCTTGACGGTATTGTGAAGCACTCGTCGAGGTGTCCCTTCTCCACCAGCGCCTCTTGGCCTTTTGAGTCCGGGACGGTACTGTACAACCTCACCAAACGTTTACCATCATCACTCCCAACCGCAACCACAACCACAACAACCAACAACCATAACAACCACAACTACCACAACCATAACCACCCGCAACCATAAGCACAACCATCACAAGCCTTTGGCTACTGTTTCCCCTTGCCTCTCCTCCCCATCGACGGTGACCTCTTTCAACCGCTCCCTCTCCCTCCCTCCCTCCCTCCTTTTGGCCAGTTACCCTCTCATAATAACGCCCCCGCTCCAGCACTCGCTTTAGAGTTCAGAGTTGTTTTACGCCTCGTTCCGCCCTCCCTCCCGCTTCGAGTTCCTTCGGAAATCAGTCGCAGGCCTTGGCACTGCTGTCCCCCCCCTCTTGCACCTTTTTTTTTTTTTTTCATTTTCTCTCTTTTTTTCTTATTTTTCTCCCCCCCCGATTGCGGGTGCTGTCCCCCTCCCCTCCTTTTCTAGTGTATTCATAAATCACCTTCATCAACCCACGCCCCCCCTCGCTTGGATCTCATTCCTCAACCTTTCGACCTCGCTCGCCTTTCTCACAGGGACACAGCTGAGCGTTCGTTTGTTCCGGGGGTGCGTGGCTAAGGACTCATGGCACCGAGTGAGATTGACTTTTATAACGTTCTTGGAATCACCAGGTACGCGACAGAGGATGAGATAAAGAAAGCTTTCAGGAAAGCTGGTGTGTTCTTCTTCCACTCTCCTGGAATATATTTTCCTCCGCTACCGATCGATAGCCCCTTCATGTTGCATTTTAGATGTGCTAATTTGCCCCTCAGCCAAGGATACGCATCCGGATAAGAACCCCGGTGACCCTTTAGCTAAGGAAAAATTCCAGGATCTCCAGAGGGCGCATGATACCTTAAAAGATAACCTCGAACGAGCAAGGTACGACGAGGATAATCCTTCTCACGGATATCCCGATGGTAAATTCCCACAACACAACAAGACTAAATCGTCAACTGCGAAGAGATACGCCACCACTGCACAGCCTCAATGGGGACCTCCTCCTCCGAGCACCTCCAGTTCCAGGGGATTTGCCCACCAACAAGGAGCTCGAGCGAGCGCTTACAAGGCTACTTACGGTGGGCATCCTGAAGGATCCTATCGGAAGGCTCGTTCTGGCTATGAGTATACCAGCTCCTCCTATAGGTCAACCGCAGGCCATGACGATGGTTATGAATTTTACGAACATAGGTATCGTCCGGAGTCCAGAGATTATGATAGAAGCTCTTCAAGTCGGACGGGCACCCGCCAATCTACAACTACTCCTAACAGTAGTGCTAAAACTGCCTCATCATCCTCACCCCGTACGAGACCCAGTTCTACTCCTGATCTACCGCGAACAGATTCGGCTGCACCAACACCCGAGTTCAATTTGGGTGCCTATATCAAGGAGCGCAGAGCTAGAGAGGCTGCTGCTGAGGCAGAGGCCGAGCAGAAAAGGCAGAAAGAGGAGGAAGAAGCCATCCGAGCCAGACGGGCAGAGATGGAGGAACATGCAAAGAGAGCGGAAAGACTGAGGAAGGACGAGGAGAGGGCAAATAAGGAGCGTGAGAGGATAAAGGCTGAAATGGAGGCTAGGAAGGCGGAAGCAGAAGCAGAAGCAGCCAGAATCAGGAGACAGTGGGGCGAGACCAATAAGCACCATTCTAGAAACGTATATGACCATGAAGACACACCTCCCGCCTTCCTATTCCCTTCTGCCGAAGAGGATTTGGAGAAGAAGGTGGACGAAGAACTTCGTACGAAGACTAAGAGTGCAGCCTCCTCTACTTCCAGGCAGAAGTCAAAACAATCTCCCACAAAGCCAAGGCATCAGCGCTCGCATGAGCCTAATATCAATGGGTATGCTGATGGCTGGAATAAACAGGGAAATAACAGCGACAATCCGGGCGGCTTTGCTTATCCATTTCCCCAGGATGAAGACGACAACGAGCATTTTATGGACAAGATGCGGAGAAGGGAAAAGGAAAGGGTGGCTACAGAGAAACAGCGAGAGACTAACTCTGGGCAATGGGAAAACCCTTCTCGCGAAAATGACTTAAGGACCCATAGTAGGACCAAGAGCGATCCAAGACCTCCCGGAAGGCGGGGATCGTTCACTCAGCCAGAAACAGTAGGGGCTTCTTCCCCGCCTTTGCCGCGAGCTGAGCCAGAGAGACAAAGCCCTCGTATTGCGTCTCCGAAGCCGAGACGTACTGACTCTCAGTTTCGGTCCGTACCCCATGCTACATCCGATTCGACGACGGATTATACTAACTTTTCGGAATCTAGCTTCAAATTCGATCCAATTCCGGATGGCCCAACCAGAAAAGACCCACACCGCACCCCCGTTACACCAATAGGGCAGGAGAGCCCGCTTAGCAAACCTCCTGATTTCCAATTTTTCGGTCATGAGCCCCAGATCGATCCCTTCAATTACACTACTCCCGAAGAGCTTTTCCCTCCAAAGCAGTCTTTTGCTCGCCCTCAAAGTCAACCTGTGTATCCCACTCAGCCCCAACACGTACCCGTCCCCCGACAGACCCCCCAGCCTCACACCCAGCAGCAACACCAGGCGCGACAGCCGCCCGATGTTCAACAATTCAAAGAAGCTCTCTGGGATACCTTAATAAAGACCACTGAAGCATTCGCTTTTCGACAGGAGGTCCCGGCGGCAGCGCTAGGCAGTCCCAAGAAGAAGGTAAGCGGTTCAAGCATTAGCAAAGGAAAGGGCAAAGGGAGGGGATCCGTTGCCCCGGACCCTATCAATATTCCGACCCATAACCATACGAGCGAAGCCGTAGACATTTTACGGAAAGGGGCTCATATGGGACAGTGACGAAGTGCTCGAAGTGACCGCATCGTTAGAAACCATCAGTCAACGAAACGAGAAGCAAACAAGTAGTCCGCCACGCAACACCTAACAAACCTCAACACCAAAGACCCCAGGAACTACTGAGCGAACTCAGATATCTCCCCCAGAATCCGAGGCATCAAGGCCCATCATGATGGTGAAAGGAACGCTAAGCCTCTTGACGCAAGCATGGGAACGTCAGGG